CCATTGCTTGTCCAGTTGAAGTTTCTTACTGTGCTCTTATACTCCTCGTCATTCAACCTAATGGAATTATCTAGCGATTAACCGGAATTATCGGAAATGAAATTCAGTGAAATTGTTCGACAAGCAACGCTATTTCAGATCATTTTCAAGTGCTTCCAATGTACACGTTCCTAATGGAGTATCCGAACATTTCCTTTTCCTTTTTCTATCTCAGTTCTTGCCTATTCAATATAGAACAAAAAATTACGAACAAAATTTTAACTTCGAGAAAGCTTTAAGATATAACTGGACCACGCTTAATTCTTCCACAAGATATCTTTAAAAGTCTTGGAAAAAATTCTGGGAAGAAATATTTTTTTATGGACATTGCGTCACTATTTATTAATTTTTAGTTGACAAAATACTGTTGAAAACTTACGAATAGACTGGCATGCTTAAGACTATCTTGGCTTTAGTACAAACTATGACTGGTTAGATTTACGAAAAATAAATTCCAAACGAGCTTCACCAATGAAACGTTATCAGTTTGAAACCAGGGTACCGGTTGTCGAAAACTTGAAACTACGCGTTGTGTTGGCTCAGCTGTAAAGCAAAACACAAAAAGGCAATAGGTGTTTCTCGTTGAGCAGTATATTTAGGTCTTTTTATATGATAGCACCTTAGCTTTAGGGAAACGTGCAATAAGATAAGTAATTATAAGGGCACTATCCGCAAGTGAATAGAGACCCTTGAGAGACCCTGGGAAAGAGGTTGGTTTGTTTTTTCCATGGAAATATCGATTGCCTAAGAAATACATTTATACTAAACTTTAATTCATTTCTATTTACTGGTGTAATTTTCATATCGATCTNTCATAATTTCAGAAATAGGCATTAGGTTTTCTATAACAGATCTGGTTTGTACAAAATTCATGTTTTACAGATTTTGATATTTTTGGTTTATTGTTTCCATGGAAATATTGATTACCTTAACAAACACGTTCAACCCAACTTCAATTTTTTTCCAAAAACTGGTGTAATTTCCACATCGATCAGAGTAAGGGAAGATTGGTAAAACGCTAATTGAAAATGCTAGGTATGGTCCAGAAAAAATGTATCGAACCACCTTAAACCATTGCTATGTAGTGCTTACCTGCAATCATATTCCAAAGCATATCCAAGCTCAGTTACGGTGTCTGTCGATGCGCTCGTATAACCTTGATTACCAACAAGGCATCTGGCCTGCCCCCTTTGTCTGTCACTAAACGTTCTATAAGTACTCTGAGAAGCGCTACTCTTGGGTATCCACAGCCACTTTTCTTGTGCTTGGATTGCGGGAGGTTGGTTAGCACAAACACTTCTACTTATACCATTTATAGGACAAGTTGGATGCTGGACGCTTGACAAATCAAGATGAACACTACGAAACAAGCACGTTTTAGTCAGCGGCGCGACTTTGATATAAGTGTATGCACTGTTTGTGGGGCAGCTGAACTGAAGACACACGGTGTTACTTCCACCCCCAGTGACAGTTGTTGACATCCGGATATGCAAACCAATCTTTCCTGTTTCGTCGAAGTCGTTCTCTTTGTAACTCTCTGCGGCAAAAATGGCATTGTCGCCGTTTACTTTAATTTTAATGTAACAGCCGAGGGGTATCCAAAATGCCGTATTAATGTCGGTCAAGATGGAGAAGTCAGATACAGTCTGTGGTTCTTCAAAGGTAAACTGAGAACCTTCTGGACGAGGTTGGGGAGATTTACACTTCTCTACCTCTGTAGTAGTATGTTTGTACATTGGTGTCGACAAAGCGCTATTTTCATCTAATGTGCTCGTAAACTCAATCCATTTAATTTCTGCACCAGTATCGTCTTGAACTTCTTCTTTTGGTGTAGCTTGGATGTTTGATGGAAGATCATTCATTCTTGTTGGAATCATGTATTTACCATTCGATTCAACTTGAATATGACATGTTTTATCGCGCCATATTGGAACACAAACTAAGCCCTCCGCCGTTGTAGTTTCCTCAATGTAACCTCTGAAGACAGCTCCTTCCTTTCGAATAACTCTTACTACAGCGCCTGCACTCCCAGGGGGCCGGGGATATGGGTCTGTCGTAACCCTCACTGCAACTCTTGTGGTCGGTGCGTCAAAATTGAGATTTTCCCTTGCTATTGCGGGGGTTACTGTGCCAACAAAGAAAACTCTGGGGGACCGTTTCCTTCTCCGTTTACTGCCGTCTTCAAGCTGAAAGTTACCAGCCTCTCTCCAACGCCCTGTCTTCTTGTCAAGCCAATATAGTTTAAGGGGCACGTCACTAGTGGAATTTTTAATAGTTAAGTTGAGTTTCTCAGGGTCAAGAAACACCTTCATAGGTTTGGACATAGCCAGTTGTTTTCCACTTTCATCTTGAAAGCTCAGTTTTATCATGCCAAAAGTTTCTAAAATTTCTTCTTCACCGTCTTCATCTGTCGTGCTGAAGTCTCCGGGAGCTGCTAGGACATCTGATAGGTTACGAGAATCGGTAACACTGATTGAAGCTTTAGCATTTCCCCGGAAGACAGAGCCATCCTCCGTAAGGAATGTCTCCTCTGGGAGTTCAAGGTCTGCAAAGCTATCAATATTTGGATAACTTCCCAAGGGGACGTCAAGAGGTTCTGAAGCATTGAAAGAAATGGGTGATGGCTTTCGTTTTAGTTTTATTTTGTAAAAGCCGCTGCTGCCTTCATTTATGACGAAAACCTTACTTCTTTCTTCAAACTCTTCATAAAATGAATCTTTGAAAGTAACTATGGCTCTTTTCACCTTGACTGGGATTGTGAAAGAAAATTTTCCTTCTCCATCTGTGTAAGCGACAACTTCACTATTGTATATCACATCCCCATATCTCATGAGTTTTTCCTCTGGCCCACCCACAACTATGCCTTGTAGAATTGTGACCTTTTCAGTACAGCCTCCACAGGAACATTTTTTCACTTTAGACAGGTTAAATGACAAGACGTCCCCACAGTCAACCTGGACTTGTATAAAATCACGCGGTCCACAGCAGAAAGATGGATCCTGGCACGAAGAATTTAACGTAGTGTCATTTCTTAAGCAGGCAACTGGTTTACACTCACCAACGTCGACAATGCTAGAGTTGCTGCCACTGAGAACACAGCCTGGTGGCAGAGTGACGTTCTTAGAACTTGGTGTTGGAGAGCATGAGTCTTGATTTAGCTCTGAAAACAACAACAACAAGTCTTCAAGTTAATGACTCCTGTAAATGTCAATTTCCTGAGCTACGCATTTAGATCTGTGCAACACTATGGATTGGTTTATCGTGAAATATGTCAAGCAATTTCATTTTTCTGATCTTTGCTGATTTCCCGTATATAAACCTTTTATGTCACTATGTTGAGATGTTCGTGGGAAAGAGACTTAACCGTCACTCGGTCTCTGAACCAAAGATGGATAAATGGGAGCAGACGCACTGAAAGAGAACCCCGACGAAATGCGAGTAGGATTAACCGTGCGATAGACACATTACTCCAAACTCCTTTTCAGTTGTACGCAAAGGTGTTTATGATAAACATATTTCGTCTGGACATGCTTATATATCCAGTTCCCTCTGCGGGTGAACACAGTACATCGAGCTTTTTCCTGAATACCTCACATCTAAATTTATACTAAATGGAATGTAACTAGCTCTCTCTCTCTAGTTGTTCCCCTTCCAAGATCCAGGCTAACTATCTCAAAAACAGTTTTTGTTACAGTGGTACACGCTTAGAAAATTAAAGCACCTGCTCAATCTTGAATTCATAAAATAGGTACACGGCATTCATGGAAAACAGTTTTGTTATTAGTACGTAGCTTTCAGTTATATACGTATGAATTGTAATGAGAATATTAGTTTTAGTATAGATATAAAATATATTCATTGTTTTGTAAAT